TCTCTTTCTTGTGTTCACAATCTTTTCAGGTTTTGTTTCTTCCTTGCTATCAGATTTCTTATCATTAATATTTGCTACTATAACATCATTGGATTTCTTGGTATCCACGACAGGTTTATGCTTGTTGTCTACCTTTGGAAATTCCGATTTCTTTTCAATAGTTTGTACTTCTGGTTTAGAAGTAGCTGGTGTTGATGGTTGTTTCTTTGGTTGAACAGGACCAACAAAAGATGGATCTCCTTCCTTTGGGAAAGATTTCTTTTCATTAACGTTGGAAACAATTCCAGTGTTAACAGGTGAGCTTACTGAAGCTGGTTTAGATACAGGTTGAGCAGCAGCTGGTTTAGAAACTGGTTGTGCCACTGGAGGTGGTCTTGAAACTGGCTGTGGAGGTGGTTGAGCTCTAGCCACGGACGGAGCAGCAGCTCTTGGTGGTGCTGATGAACCCTTACCGGCATGTGCATACATGCTCAAGAATGCAATCACACACACCAAGACAACCCCAATTAAAAGTGAAAAATTACTCCTTCTAGGCTTAATCATTATTTGCATACACTAGAGAGAAATGTGTTCTTTTTTTTAAAGATGAATTAATTGAGCATTGCTTTGGGGTGTTCCATTTACTGTGGGCCATTAACGAGAGCATTGAACACAATAAGGGTATTGTACTTGTATCGGAAGAGATTTGAATGAGCGGTTTTAAAATACTGAATGTTGGGTGTTAGTTGTTTGCAAAAGAATCGGTTTCTGTAAACACAACAACTGCTACACTACAATGGTGAGAAAAGGTAATTGAGTCAACCATTATCCAATATTGTAAGTTCAGAAATAGTTGTCTCATCACTCTCCATAGTAATAGCATTTGGATCAAAATCATCACCTTGTTTAACTTTTCGATATTGAATTGCGTTTCCAATAATATATGATAAAATTTCTTACGAATGATCCATCATAGGCAATTAAATTATCAAAATGTTTTGCATTGTTTAATCTAGCAATTTCTTCCTCTCTTAAATCATTAGAAATCACATGAATATTATTCATTAAAAACCTAGCAACAGTCTCTTCCGATAATTCTATCAATT